TCAGTCCAGTTCATCAAATCCCATATCATAGAAGCTTAGTTGATCAAGTCCCGAGAGAAAGCAATAATACGACTAAACTCTATTCAAAAAAAGGAGACAAGAACATGCTTGAAATGAGTACAAAATAAAACCGGCCAGTTCCATAATACCAAGCGGCCTATAAAATGATAAAAGTGAGGTAGAATGCAAAGTAGCCAAGCTAGATTGAACTAAGTCTAAGTAAGTCTTTTCCTGAGTGAATCTCCATCTATTGCATGCTAACATGGTGAGTCCCAAAGATCTATCTATTGCATTACTTTCAAATAATCGTTGATTTGATTTTTTTCAAAATGGCATAGAATTTAGAAGTCATAAAAAGTAGATATCGGTTTTTATTGCAAATAAAAGGATACAAGTACGGAGTAAATATTACTTTTCATAAATTTTAATACAGCTGAAAATATTGAGGACAGATTCTAGCAAACCATTTTGCTATATTGGTGATGTAAAATTCTTTGATATACTGAGATTATCGGCATTTCTGTTCAATATTTTCTGATAATATTTTTTCTGATTCACACATTTGTTCAGATTCTATGAAAAAATTGGACAAAGTAAGAGAGAAAAAAGGACTAGAATGTTCGACTGCATTTACAGGTAACGCTTTTATTTTGCATCTTTTTTCTTTGATGTATTTGAAATTATGAGATGGATAAATACAAATACTCATTTAGTTTTGATTTTTTAATTCAAAAAGGCAGTTATACTTATTATATGTATTCCAACAGGTATGTATAATAGCAATATCAGTGTAGCAAAGAAAGCACAACAGATGACGATTGGTGTTTGTCGTAAATGTGGTTATTCCGGGCATCTACCATTTCAGTGTTTTAATTTTTTGCAAAATAAAAAAGAAAGCTTCGCAGAGATCTCTTCAACTAGTTCTGAATCTGATTACGATACTCCGTTAACTGTAAAAGGTTTGCAAATTATCATTACTATGACATGAATCTTATAAAATTATGACAACTAATGTTAGGGGTTATATAATTGTTAGGATTGTTCTATTAACCATTTGATCCTGAAATATATATGCAACAATAAACAGAGTATCAAGAGAGCAAGTTTGTCTCTAGAATAACTATGTACTTGGCTGATAACCATTTCAGGTATATTAAAAATGTCAAAATTTGGTTAACTGTAAAAGGTTTGTAAAAAATTATCATATAAATTTGAATGTATTTGCAGAAAAAAAACCAAAGAAGAAACGGAAAAATAAGAAACATAAGTATCATAAACAGTATAAGAAAGATAAAAAACTTCATCGTACTTCACGAAAATACAAACTTGATAAAAAGAAAGAATAACACTCAATGACATGAATACTGACTAATCGATTTGATTATGGTAACTTTGTAAATGTGAGAAAATGTACATAAAGATCCTGGATAAATAAGCTGGTAATCATGGGTTTCAGATAATTTATTTGATTATTTCCTGAAAATTGATGAAACTGATGTAAATTTTCTTGATAAGTATTTCTGATACTGCAAATTGATAAGTGGAGCTGTACCGTGCAATGTTTTGAATTGCTAGAGTGTATCTTGTTTCAATTCGATCTGATCATAAATTTTTAAAATAAAAAAGACACTGGTTAAATTTTAATTAAAAATGCAATTTTCATCATTTTGGAATGTTTAAATAATGATAGAAAAGTAGCTTGTAATATAAAACAGTGGTAAACCTAAATAAAATATTCTGCGGTTAACATTTGCCAAGCAACATGCTTCGTCTTAAGTATCTTCATCCAGATCGCAATATTGTTCTTCTAAAAATTTATGAAAAAACTTTTTCATCTCTTGTCAATACGACAGTAACTGCTTGATCGAGTTATTAATTTTAATAGGTTTAAATAAGTTGAAAATGTATGTTAAATAAGTTAGCATTATAAAAAATTTAATGTTTAATTTGACAAAGTTTGGATGTATAAATTGTGATATGCCTTGATATTTTGTCTAATCTATTCATAATGTGTTAATAACTTCATTAAATTATTACTATTTGTGTAATTATATGACAGCTTGATACTGCACGTCACATAAATAAATGAATTTACCAAAATGTTTTTGAATGTCCACATATTTGCTTTTGTAATTGTTCCGGAAATTGCGTATTCGTCGGAAAATTGAATCCAAATCAGATTTCATTTCCAATATCAATTGTTTACTGTCATTTAAGTCTTTCTTTGCTTTTTCAAGACGATTAGCTGATAACGAACAGCAATTAGCCAACATTTCGTTCGTTTTTTCAAAACGCATTAAGCTCAAAATTTATAATTTTTTAAGTAATACATATATTTTCTAATAAAATCATATAAAATGATACTCTGTCAGAAAATGAGTACTCATGAAATTTAATGCAAATATAATATTTATAGTCCATTAATTAGAAAACCTTTCAAGCCTTGCATAATTTTGTGAAAAATGATAATTTGGTTGATTAATTAAAAGAAGCTGTTTTCGGAATATCGAACACGTTAATTAAGTAACGTCCACGTCTATGATAAATATGCAAAAAGTGGCAGAAGCAAAGTGTTCACACTTTGTAGCGCGAAAAAGGCTTCTTTTTTAGTATAAATCTATTCACAAATGCAAGTATTTTCGTAATCGTCACAAAGTAATTCAGATGAACACTTTTGATGAAATGGTGAAACTTACGAATTCTTCTGTAGTTCGATGATTTTTGCAATACTTTCTTCGTTGACTTGCGACATAAGCGCTTGCAAGAAATACTCACTGGTCTTATTATCATTGTTTGTAGCAGCAGATGTAAGGATATTAGCCATATATAATTGTAATAGCAATTCTCGTTTGTGTAATACTATTGATATTAGCAGCAAAATGAGCGCTCAACTTTATCATCAGAAGGAAAACTAAGTAAATCAATGTTACTTAAAGTTAAATGAATTAAAATTTAAATTGTTACAAATTTCTGCACATTATTTGCTAGTAATTATTATCCAGTTTGTATTCAGTAACACTAAAATCATTTTTTTGCACTGAAATATGAATTTGCTTAATTGCTGCATTTCAATAATAAAATTCCGTAGTCTAATTACTTATACTTAAGTTACTAAAAGCTAGTTATTTGATAGGCACACAGTTAACAGCACAGCTAAGAATGCTTTATCTGCTGGAATTACTTTTGAAATTGCTGTGAGTATTTAACGGTTGCCCGATAAGCTTAAGCAAGTTAGTTCTTCAACGTGAAAAATCGTTGCAAAGCAGAAGTGATGGAAGGGATGGCTTACTAAAGTTTAGTTCTATTTCATAAGGTAATTATCGTCAGTTATTAGATGGTCAGTGTCATCATTTTGAGCTATTTTCTAGATTCGTTGAAATCTTGCAGATTGTTTTGTTCAATTTTGATAATGAGACCGGTTGCTGTCAGGCGTATATTAGCAGTATGGATCTGGCCTACGTTAGCTGCAACACTAATATTCTCTGATTGGCAAACCACCAAGCGTTTAAAAGAAAGTGGCCATGCTAGTATCCTCGAAGCAATGCGAGATGAGAGTGATATTGCTCGTAATATACTTTAGGTTTGATATTTTATTGATTCATCTTGTATATTCCAGGTTAAGCAACCAGTGTATCAAAGAATTAGCAGTAATTAATGGGTACATTCACGTTAAAATACTTTTTGAAGAAAACAGTGTGGGAGCAAAAAACTGCGTGGTTCATGGCTACTGTTTTAGCGTACGTTGGTGAGCCTGCTGCTATTTTCTTTTTATTATTAAATGCCTCTAATAAATTGATTATGTCATTTAATGAATTTTCGTTTATTCTGTTTCTCACCCTTACTCTCTTCAACCTTCTCTAGTTGCATCCATTTGATTTCAATGAGCAGAATTCATGTATATCTTTTGGGAGTTCTCTGTCTATCGAAGCTTTCCGAAAAGCTCATATAGTTTGTTATTTGCGTGTCGATTTCCTTTCGTTTTTACCAGTTAAAAAAACCATTAATCCAGCTAAAATAAAAGCGACTGTAGCTATCATAAATACATCTGTTGCTTTCTTGCATGCATTCATTCAACGTTTAAATTTGAGGTTATTGCTTTGATCGACAAGGAATGTACAAAGCAAGTATGATGAAAGGTCAGAGCAAAATGTTTGCTGATCGCATTGCTGAGATTCCAGAGGGGGAAGACATCTGGAAGTATTGACTAGCCCTACGTTTCTTTTGCTATAATTTCGCCTAGGATCTGTTACGAATAATCGTAATTCCAGTTTCATTTGTACTCTTCAAAATAAGCGACCAGTGTTTTGAGTGTTTTAAGTAACAACAGTAAATCTCAATCACTTCAACCGTTATTTTCCGTAGTTTAAAAGCTCACCAACTCAAATCACTAGTGCATAAATTACGAGTAATGCTTGTGTTTAGCTTGTCGATTGTAGTGCATGTAAACGAATTTTACAATAATATTATTTTAACTTAGAAATTTTCAGAAGTCATGACCGTTAACATCATGAAATGATATAGTAAAATAAAACTTGATTTCATCAATCCTGAATGGAACATATGCAAAAATAGAAATAACATTTTCGTTGTAACAAAAAAATATGAAAAAGATAAAATGAATTGATAATGAGAATCTTTGGATACAGCTAGAGAACCATTTACATGGTCTACAATTTTTCTATGAATTTTAGAGTTGTTTGCTGGAAACAAGAGTAAACACCATTTTATTTTATTTTCCAAGCAAAAATAAACACTGGTGCTCTTCACGGTTGTTACCAATTGGGTATGTTCTGTTTCCGAAAAAAAGCGAGCCGACCAGGACTACATTTGCCATTTTCTTAATTGTGCAATAATTTTACTGAAGTACGAAATTACAAATGCAATATGTTTGAGTCTATGTTCCAGAAAACACTCAGAAGTTAATCGTGTAGAGGAGTAAAGAGATATACAATGAAATCGGAGAAGACGATACACAATATCATCTGTTCATTGAGAACCAAATTCCATACATCATAGAAATCAAAATTATAGTATGTCATCGTCGTCACTGAAAATACTCACGTCTTTGCCACATTCTGGGCAATCAGCATATGACGATGCAGCCAAAAGTTTTTCATATGACTGTCGACAGCTCCATAAGTGACATTCATATTCATGCCACTTGCCACTATCTAGTAATTTACAGTGCGGCAATCGATATTTTAAAGTCTCCACAAGAGCTGAAACTAGATTCCATGAGATATGGAGAATAACAAAGTATGCAAAATATACATATTCTTGATAAACTAGATATTTTTAAGCCTTTCATATAAATGATCTACTACAATCATCCAAACGTTTCAAAAGCAGATCCGTGTTTTCAAAATGAATAAATCTAGAGATAAAAAGTTATTAGCCCAAGTTACTCAATTTTTAAGAATCTGATCAATGTGAACACGATGCTAATTCCAAAAGCTGCCTAAAGCATTGGTATTTTCACAATAATTTAACGACTGGACTAGAGAACTTACAGCTATCAAGTTTTTTTTTGGCACAACCCAAAATTACTGCTCTGATATAAGGCATCCACGTCCTGTTTGCTAAAAATTTACAAGCTTTCAAAACGGCTGCGTCTGAATGATACAGTGCCAAGTTAGTTAGCTTTCTTAAGTTTGTTATAGATTTGGTCAAACCATCTTCTGTTACCGATCGTAAGTTTAGCATATATAGTGTATCCAAATTTGGACATCGCTGTAAGAATTATTTCATTACTAACGCAAACGCGCAAAAAAAAAAAACTGGCGAACTGCGAAAAATATATTGTCCATTCCCAATCATAGATTAAAAACTATCTCATATCACAATGACTGCAGAACTCTAACATTAATTTTGAAGTTTTTTCTTGAAAAACAAACGAAAGTGAAAGATCTCGAACCTTGAAACTCAATTTAGTTCAAATTTTACAAAAGAAATCTTTCTTAGTTTAAAAAAAATACCGCTGAAATGATTTCGAAGTGATTATCCTTCAAGTGCTGTACTTGCTGAAGTGACAGAACATTTAAATTAACGGGTAATGACCGACAGAAGAGTTCAAAATTTTCAGAGCGTATGTTTCTGAATAAATTGACAATTGATAGTTCTGTGACCGAACATAACTGTTCTAAAGACAGCAACATTTCGTCCCAAAACTGCATGCAGTTATGACCGATTGGATGGCCAAATAAATGCAGAACTCTTAAGTTCGTTAAACGCGGAAGAGCTTAAAAATTTATCAAAATTAAAAAATGTGGTCCTTGAATTCGTTCGTAAAATAATCTTAAAACTGTCGGCAAAAACTTTGGAGCACTTCTCCAAAAGATTTTAAAGAACTTCCAACTCTTGAAAATTCTAAATTTTAAATGAGCTAAATAAAGTAATTCCCATACTGACAAATAAAAAAATATAAATGGAAATACTTATAATGTTAACTGAAGATGAATTTCAATAAGAAAGGAAATAAAATCACCTGTAAAAAACTGTTTACAACAATCAACATTCCTCCGCATTGATCCCAAATCCAATTCCAAAACAGTTATCTTATTGTAATTTGGTAATAAAGTGACAAAGTTTAAAAGTATTTGAAAACCAGCTTGAGATACAAAACGCGAAAAACATATACAAACATTTATGTCTTTTGCCACTTCGGATGCTCCCTGAAAAACAGTGCGAAAAAACTATTTTTTTTCCTCTAATTAGTGAAATTTGCAATGAATACCAAAGCTTCACAATAGATACCTGAAATACTTGGCATGCTTGATTTAAATTTCGAAAAGCACGATAATCAATTGCCAAATAGAGTAAATCCAACTTTGTCCCGAGATTCTTAATCTGTGTTTCAATATTTGTTATAGTTTTTCCACTTGAATCTGATACATAAAGCCTTCGAACACTCGACGATATCATAGTCTAGAATACTGAACCGTTAGCATGGATTTTATAAGTACAATAATTCCTTTATTAAAATGATATTACAAAAGCAATTTACGTTGATATATCCTGAAGTTTTTACATTAATCTGACAGATGAACAAATAAGTGTGAACAATAAAATGGTGAGAAACAAAATTTACCATGAAGTTGCCCATATCTCTCATGCTATCAAACCAAATATTGTGAAAACAAAGGCTTGAAATTCTATTTGAAAGAAAACAGTCGGTGCCACTCCCTAAAAAACAGATGATAAACTGAAAAGAAGAGTAAATAATAGAAAAGTTACTTTAAATAAAGCTAAGAAAAAAAACTTACAGTATAGTATAGATGGACGCACTAAACAAATATTACGCAACACTAATGATCTTATATTTTTTAAGGAATCGAATTCAGCACATAAATCTCGACTTAATACAAGCTGAAATAAAGAAACGAATTTGCTCTAGTTAGCAATCTTTATTGCAAAGCCTAGAAGATATCAATCAAATTCTATTTTCTCAGTACGCTATTTAAGGATAAACTGCACCAATTTTATAAAAAAATTAAGAAATTTGGTTTTTGATAAACTCCTATACTCTCTGTTCTCCCCCACACTCCCTTCAGCTTTAGTGCATAATAATATCACCATGACAGAGAAAAAAATTAAAGGCTTTCATAGAGGTCTAAAATCTTGTAATGAATTATCCTTTTTACACAAAATTAAACATTCAATAAGCAATTCTTTACTGCATTATTCCACCACATAACTAGACTAACTCTTAGAACGAATAAAGTGAAAAAGTAAAAACTTAATTATGATCAAAGCTACTTGATTTGATACCTGATGGTTTGGAATGTAGCCTAATCGACGTTCATAATCGGTTATACCACCAACACGTAGCGAATAAATTTGACGAGAAAAGCGCCTAATAATGCTACGAATCCTTGCCATGGAAGATTCATGCTGAAGTAGCGAACCGTCTGATCTATTGCTCCGTACATGGGATGTTATTACTCGTACATTGAATTCATTTCCGGCTATTCGAAGGGTCATAATTGGCTCCAGTTTCTAAAACATGTAATTTTAATACTATAAGTGAAATCAATGTACTTTAATTAAGAAATCATTAGTGACACACCAAAGCTGAGAAAAAAACATACGATTATGTTAATAGAAAGCTGACTTCGGTGATTACTTTCATTAAATACATAATTGCTATCAACCATAACAAAAAGATCTGTGACATTACTATTAAGACAATGAAACATACTGTGAATACCAATTCCAAAACAGTGTTACTATTCCCACAATCGATAAACGGAACTCGCTTGCTAATATTATGAAAAAAACGACTTGAAAGTTCCAAATTTCTTCTATCTTTTATATTGCTCACAAAGGCAACAACTTTACGCATGATGACATCATTATGATAAACCTGCTGCTCAGGAGTCCATTCGTCCTCTGAAACTGTTCAACAATTATTCAGAATGTATTAAAGTGTGTTAATGAAGAAATATATTTGGTTCTTTTTTATTCCAGAAATACAGATCTGTCGCATCCGAAGTGTCATTATCCTCAACCATTACTTCACAGGCATACGTTGTGTGATCACTTTCATCATTTCTATTACAAAAAATAAAATCTGTCAATCAAACTCATTACAAACGAACGATAGGTAGCTTGACGCACATTTTAAATCCTACACTGAATAAACATTGCAAACTTTGCTAGAATATATATGCAAGACAATAACGTGTTCAGGTTATCGTATAAAGAAACAAATGTTCCATTTTGCTTCTAACATGCAGACTGTACAAAGAGGTAGCAGAACTTTGCATATTTAACTAAACTGATTTTCTAAACAAACTGTATCGTTAATTAAATAAAAGTAAGTAAAGCAATCAATTACGACCTACCGGAATCAGTAAATTCGTTGGATGAATTACTGGCTTCTGACTCACCTTTCTTATCACAGACATAACCCATCACTGAACGACTTGAACAATACACAAAGAAGCTTAAAATTAAAGAATTAAAGAAAATTTTGAAATAAAATGAATTTTGAATTGACCCGAATCATTTCTTCTCTTTCAAGCAAACACTACAAGTTTGCGGTTCATATATAATTCATTACTTTTAGTATTCCTTAGTCAATAGTAAAATCAAACATTAATTTTGTTGATGTCACATTTTTAATTTTATTTTTTTGGATCTGTCCTTTTTTCATTCTATGTATTTATGTCGTAATTATTTTGCAACATATGCACTTTCATGGACAACGTAAGTGAGACTAAGTCACGTGCATTGCATCTACAGTTAGTTGAACTCACAATAGTCACCTCAAAAGTTTTCCCAAAAGATAGCACGTTTGCATGGAAGATAAATATGAGAAAAAATAATTACATAAGCAAACATACATAAAATGGCCGTACATACATTGTTATGATAGGAAAAGCAAAAGCGATAGGAGAACAGACATAACGAAAAGAAAGCAAGCGACCGTGCTAAAAAATGCAAAGACAAGCACATGAACAGCCTTGACTTTAGAAAATTAACTTACCCTATGAGCATAGTATAAATGGACAATGGCCATATTTAAAATGCAGCAGCATTTACTCATTGATATGGCAATAATTTCTCCAAATTTCATTACAACACCGTCACAAAAACATTTTCAAAATCACATAAATTCCCATTTCCGGCAAGTTCAAATTACTACAGGGACTAGATTTGATGCGGCCATTTACAAACAATGAAGTAGCAATATGTTACAAGAAATAATAGATTCTTCCATGCAACTTCTATTAATAATATAAACTACTTTAATGGAGTTTAGATGGAGGTGAGACGTGGGATGTAATGTATGTGACGTGAGAGAGATAAATGAAACGTGAAAAGGCAGAATCCTACAAGAACATACAAATAGACCAACCACACTCCAGACAGCCTTAACGGAGAGTAATTGGAAACACGACCGTTCATAATAACTCCTTTGTTATGAAATAATTGCACTTATTTATTAGATGCAATATATTTCGTAATCGCTCCACCCATTTTGGTACATCAAGACAAATGATAAGGCGTATCCCTCATTTGACTATGCTCATTGCAGACGATCATTGGTTACTAACGTGGAATGACGTAATTAGCAGAGAAAGTGCAGAAAGTACAATGCCAGAAATTAGGACAACTTTTACTCACTCTTCTACAAATCATAATAGTGTAACTAATACTTAAAAAATGTTATAATTATGCAAAAAGCGACGTTTGAAATAAAGTTAGAAACAAATAAATACACAAATAAACAAATAAATAAATAAATAAATAAATAAATAAATAAATAAATAAATAAATAAGTAAATAAATAAATAAGTAAATAAATAAACAAATAAATATACATGTAAATATAAATTAAATACATATATGAGTATACAATTTATACATTTCTGATACAAAAATAAGTGATGATTAATGTAATTCATAATTCTGGATACATATTTATATCAGCTAAACATTGTAACAACGCTGATATCATCAAGAACAGAATAAATTTAAGACAAAAATAGATTATTATCATTAACGTAATCCTTCGGCGACTTTATTAGAATTAAACTCAAATCAGTATTATTGTTATATCACTTATATCACGTGAAAGAAATGGAAAATACATCAAATTTTTAAAGTAAGTCATTTATCAGTTAAAAAGTAACCACTCTATGTGCATTTTGAATAATAATTACTTGTAAATAAAAAATTAAATAAAATTGGAACACTTAATGTGTTGGAAAAATTAATGGTAGTAATTTTATGTTTGCAAAATAAATACAAAAGAAAAAGTTTTAAAGAGTTATTGATTACTGATATTGATTATATTGTATATATCTAAATACAAAAATTACTTCAAATATTTTCACTTACTGAAATATAATTAATTCAAGTAATCTTACGTAGACATTGAAAGCATTTTATTCATTTTTGTGACATGTAGAATAAGTGTATTTGTTTTATCTATTTTTAAGTTTACTTTTGTACTACAGAAAGACTTTAAATAATTACAGCTCTTCTTTACAAGTATACAATTATATATTTCTGATACATTTGCCATAATTATAGATTTGAAACTGTAAAGTTTTCAATAAAAATGCGCAAATGAAATGATGCTAAAATAGCATGATATTGAAGAAATGTAATCAATAATAGCAATATGTGATAGATTAGCAAAAAGCCCATTGGTAAGTCAAAATAATAATCGTAATAATAGGGTTAGCATGACAGTAATCAGTTTATTTCTTTATAATAATAATAATATTATTATTATTATTTCACATACATGAAGAATAAACTGTGAAGGATTAAATTAAAATTCAATTTATTATTTGCGATCAGAACTCAGTTCTGTTATATTTTTCAAATACAAATTAAATATCTGTTAAAATTTTCAAATTTTTAATTATAGTACCTAAAAATCAAAAGTAATACATATTGCATTTGCATTTTCTTAAGTGAACTTTTTTGTTTTGAACCAAACGAACATGTTTTTGTACAAGTACTGGTACTTTTATTGTTAAACAATTATTAAATTGAATCTGATTGAATTTTTGTGTCACAAACGATAAAAAGGCTTCTTGATTCTAATAAAGTTTCACTTCGGTAATAACGACTGTAAATGGTAATTTTTCTTCAAGCGTTTGTACTACCTAATTTTTTGCTTTTTGCAATAACTCAAACTGCGGAAATTATTAGAAAAGATATTGATTATACGGTAAATTTTTAATAATTGTTATTTCTATTGTTAGTGTGAACAGTGCAAATTGTGACCTGTGACCTATGTACGGAAAATTATTCGCATATGAGAACTTTATCTTCTATATGAAAGAAGATTATTTTCAAATTAAAACGAAATGCTTCATATGCAAATATTTTTCGGTACGAATATTTCTGGCGTATTACTTTGTGTTAAAAAATTATTACTCTCTAAATTGCTTTCCTGCAAATGCAATAAATTGAAGTTAAAAGTTTTATGCAAATATTTTATTTTTAAATTTTGAAATTTGAATTGTTCTAAACATGCCAAAGAATCATAAATATTTTTATAATTTGAACTATGAGTGGTGAATAAAAATTAAAGTCAGTTGCATCCACTGCAATATAAAATGGACTTTACTTGGGATAAGGTCAAAGTTCGTTTCATAGAAGAAATATCTGTTGCTATATTATGGGTAATTAGTTGCATAAATTGAGATAACAGATCCAGATCCTTGTACTATTTGAGCAAATGTCAGTCGGAATCTTTGCAAGCATCAGGTGTGCATTCTAAGACGTCATGATATTAAGTATTAAGTGGATAATTGTCTTGAAAAGGTCAAGAACTGAGCAGACTTGGTGAGAAAAGATGCATCACAACCAGATTGGGTATTGATTATTCAAAAGTTCTAGATGACCAAAGAAGGTTGTTTCGTGAGCAGATTTATTCATCCCTCATCATAATAGCACTCTCAATTACTAATTCAATCAATAGGTAATTTTTTCCCAGTTTTATGAGCAATAAAGACAAGAACAATTTAGTTTGAGGATTATGGAAATGAAGAATTTTTATGGGGGAAAGAATCGAGTCCACAGTGGTGTGAGTCCCCAAGAATTAATGTAAGTCTCGATGATCGTGTACTTCTTAGAAGCTCTTTCATTGATGCTAACTCAAAAGGGCAGGTACCAATTTAAATTTCAAATATATACTTTGTAAATTTTTGAATTTCAAATATATGAAAAAGTTTTTAGCAAACATTTATAGCAATATATGTGAGAATAGTTATATGCTGAGTAACATTCCAAATACAGTAGGTAATCCATGACCTTTGTTCTTTCAATTTATGAGTACCATTAATTACACTCTCTTAATAGTATTATAGCATTTATTAATGTTTTTAACTAGACTTATTATTTGATACCGCTTAGTCTTTAAAATTACAGTTCAAAAATGGCCAAAATATATTTAGTGTTTTAATTATTTTAGTACGCAACTGAAACAACTGCGGAAGTCCGCTGTGGACCACAAAGACGTTTAAAACTTGAAGAGGGTGTAATCCATCCATTAGTATGCTCATTTTTACTATATTCTTCTTAATTATGAATAATCGATTGATTGATCGATTGATTGATTGATTGATTTTTGCAAAAGATTAGTTTAGGAAAGCGTATACTTACGTTGTACAATGAATAGTGCAGGAACCGGAGGAGTATGGTTGTTGGCTGGTGGCGGTAGTACGTTGTTACAAAGTTCTCGACCAGTGTGCGTTTACGGAGAACCGACGTTCCATCTGTGTGAATTACCACGTCTAATTCATCGCGGACTGCGAGTGATTACTACTAAAAAATCATACTTTTTCCAAAATAATGATACAATAATCATAAGGTATAGACAATCAATTTGACATCTTTCCACATAATTTTTTCCAAAATTTAAATAATTATGTTTGAAAAATGCATATAATTTAGAAATTTTTTACTTATTTGTTGTATTATTTATGATATTAATTTACGTATACTTACATTGTACGATGAAAGTATAGGAACTGGAGAAGTAATTACTTTCAATAATTTATTCCTGTGGAACACTCTGTGTTTATTCCTTCTTTAACGTTAAAACTGAATTAGTCACTATCAAATTACCTAACGCTATATTAAGTAACGTTAATTAGAATTCCAACAAGAATTACTTTATGCCACGTGACTGAAATGATTACAATTATGTTAGTGTTGCATTTAGTTGCTCGATGCCACAAAGTATATTCAGTATATCAGGGAAGCATACGTTGCGCTGTGTAAATAGCAAGTGGATTCACGAAATAAATAACACGACAAGTGGTCTACAGTATCCAACTTGTGGTTCTTCTTCGATAATTTATAAGCACAATACTTACTGTTCTATTCCATTTAAAACTTAAATACAATAATTAAAAAAAATACATGACAGCAGTTCAATAGTTTTTATTTGTTGCTTGTAATCAAAATCTTTGACAAGAAATGGTTAGCATTTGTAGTACTTTCTGGTTTGCTCGTGAACAACTTCAGATGCTTGCTAAAAATTAGCTGAAGATTGAGAAGTGATTCCAACTGGATTGATTCTATGGTACAAAACCTTTAGTAAGAATTTCTCTCATGCCAGAAGGCAAGTTTTAGTTCGACAAAGTATTTGCACTACTCAACAAGTTCCACAGTTTCTTATTTACAAACGTATTGATTCTGATTGCAATGAAAAATCTACAGTTTGCAATTTTTTAAATGAATCACTTCCATCAGGCACAAAGGTATTATTTGTTTAGCAAATTACACTACAAAATTTTTATACAGTGCTAATTTTTTTAATGCAAAGAGCTTTTAAACGTAAATAATTCTTTAGCGTAAAAAAACCATTTGAATAAATTACGTGAAAATGTTACATTAAATTTACAGTAATAAATTATTAAAGATATTATACAAAATATCAACGAGTACTTCCAAAGTTACGATTACGACAAGTACTTTTGAATGAATTTTGCAATTTGAATTTAAATGTGTTCAAAAAATATGAATGTGTTCGGCTTAAGCTGCATTTTAAAGAAAACAACTTTTTATCATTCTGAGTTTTGCTCTAAATATAAACATTTAAAACAAAGTACATACGTGAACTTTGAAGTCTAAGTGCGTATAAATGATACATCCGCAAAAAGTGTTGTAATAATGCTCGTATTAATGTTAATTTGCTTTTTTTTGTTGATGGAACTTCGATGCCGTGATAATAGCACACGTCTTGTTGGTCCTTCATCTGTGGTTTGCTTAAATTCAGAATTTCAGCCTGGCTCAACTTGGTATCCAGCAAAATGGCCAAGTTGCATTCCAAAATGTGAATAGTTTTCTCATAAGTATAAAATCTAGCACAATGATCAGTTTATGATATGATAGAAAAATCAAACAAAATTCAGTTTCATGTGAAGATTTGAGTAAAGTTTGAAAATATTTGCTTTTAGCAATTTGTCCAGAGCCTTCTATACAAAAGGGCACTTACGTGTCTTCAGACGTGTTAAATACAACTTTTCGACACGGTACTCGAATACGGTTTGAATGTAATAATAACTTTATGATTCGTGGTAGCGAAGTAATTGAATGTCTAAAATCAGGCTTGTGGAATGATTCTTTTCCTGAATGCTTTGCAGTTGGTCCATATTGTTTTTCATCTTATCTTGAATTTTTTCTGTTTTATACCAATTTCACCTCTTAAATATCAAAATTAACTTTAGTTATAATTACTTAAAAGTAATCGTTTACTTAATGGTTGATGCATGTTCAAAATATCGTTTATTCTTCAAATTATTTCTTAGTAAATTTTGGTAAAACAATTATTTTCCATAATTTTTTTGTTGTTCAAATGCAAAACTCTTATTGCTAAACACTAGCCAAACAAATGTTTTAATTACTTACCTAAATTATTTATGAAAGTATCAGTTCTGTACTAAATGCGTTTATTTAAATTATTCTTAAATTTGCAGTAAATAAACAATTAAGTTTTCAGCCATTTATATATAGTGAAAAAGCTATTTTTAATTAATGTTTCATTTAAAAGTATTTAAGCTAAAAATGCAATAAATACTTTATTTAAATTTTTTTGTATTGTTTGTTTGTGAATTATGCAACAAATTTTCATGTTTGAATATTTATATTATTTAAATTTCAGAGAAAAAAGGAATAAGTGAAGAATCTGTGATAGTATTTCTGATAATAGCAATCACTTTTTTGCTTGTCATATTTATGGCAATGCTTTGGGCTGTTTATCGACAGCACACGCAAATTCACAGAATTCAACACGGAACTGTTACTGACGACATTTTGCTTAACAATATGAATTGTTCTGTGGCTGGTAGTTCACAGCAAATTAATAATACTAATAATATTTAGAATAAATATCCGTCAAAATTGACTTAGTAGACTTATAGTTATAATAAAATAATCATTCAAAATAAATGCTTGTGTGATAAAAACTGGAAATTAATATTTATAACTCGCTGAAGCAATTTAAAAATTAGTTACTGCATAGATATTTAACTCTTTCATGAAAAATGTATCCTGAACGTTAAAAAAAGTCTAATTTCATTACTGACAACTTGAGAAATATCTAAAAATTGCAAATTTTACTTCAAATGATTAATTCAAAAATTAAAAATACCTTTTTGAGTATTGATTATGTGATAAACTTCAATAAATAATTTTTTAATTAAAAACTTTTAAAAAAAAGCTCAAAATTATTTGTGCAAAATAAAATCTTAGCATAATTTGAGGATAAAAAGATACGTATGACAGGGAGTTGTTTTGAATACGACTTTAAATAAAAATTGTTGGTAGTATAAACAGAAAATAGTACATAATTAGTAACTAATAAGTCAGAGGGAAGTGGAAAGAGTCGTTAGTAAATTTTATGGAATGAAATTGCGTGTGAATTGAATCAGTGAAAAAGTTAATTGCATGGCATTATTAATTTTGAATAATTTTTTTTAATGACAAAAGTAGTTCTGACGTGAGCAAAAATAAGTCAAATATAATTCTCAACAACTTAGAAATGATTATTTTTTATGAATTGTTATTCGTATTTATTGAAATTTAAACTCTTTTACGTCGGGTCATTTGGGAAAAATTGTTCTTAACCTTTGACATTAACTCAATGAATTTGAAAAACAATTTATGAATGTTTCTTTATTTTCTAATATTTTGTGTGAAATAAAATAGATCAGTCTTATCGGATTTCATTTCATGCACATTCTTGCCCATAATAGAATAAAGTCCTTTGCATTAAGTAAATGAACTTTGAACTTAATAAAATTTTTTCAGTCAAAAGAAGTCAATTAAATTTTTTCACTTATCACTGAAGCATCACTAAAGCGAGCATTAGTCTTAATTTTGTCTCACGCAAGTAATTCAAAAATTTAAAATTATTACTACTTCATAAATCATTGCTTTATTTATATTTTTAGGCTAAAATTAATTAATAGTTTTGCCTTTTTATTAAAAAAAAGAATTGAAACAAAAGCTTGTTGTAAATGTGCATGTACAAGCTTAATACTAAAAAGGTAGTGCTTGTCACGAGATTATTTTTTCTACTTTTTTAATAATTTTTAAATTAAAATTTTGCGCTTTACTCATTTATTTCTTCATTTGCTCAGAATTTTATTATGCTTTTTTGTGAACAATTTGACTTTAGACAATATTTTATTAATGTTTGACCTTTCTGATGAGAAAAATTTGACCTTTCTGTAAGATTTTTCATGCATATTGCGATATCAATATTTTATACCTTTAATTTTATACTAAGTTGTTTCGTTTCTTGAAATCTAAACCAATTGATAGCATATTAAAAAAGTGCAAAAAACGATTTTTTTTGAAATTAAATCCTTTCAGACGTTCATTTTAATGGATTCTAAACGAATATTTAAATAAAATACATTCATTATAAACAATATTCATAATGAGTACAGCTGATCAGTAGTATATGAACTGTGTCACAAATTACACTCAAAAGTTTATACTTAATATTTATATTGATTTATTAATACATTTTCGTATGTATTATTTGATCTAAAATCAGCATTTTTACTTATGCATAAACATAAACAAGTAGAAGATAATTATTGTCAAAATACAGATATGAAATGCTCAATTTCCAGTCTCTTTTCATTTTCATTTTTGTCAGTAATCTAATTTTCGACAAACAAGCAAGCAAAATTGAAGTTCCAAGACATAGATTTATTTTGGCAATTCAGTTTTGTTCAGCAATTTTTTGTCAAGCTGATTTTTGATTTTAGCTTATCATCACAAATGTTAGCTTAATTTTTGCAATAAATTATCATCACAAATGTTTGTGTATTCAAATTCCAAATGATATTTAAATTTCAAATGATATTTAAATTTCAAATGATATTCAAATTTCAAATGATACTGCTTTGGCAATTGATCAGACTTCATTAAACAATATTTATTATAAATTCTTACAATTATATTTATCAAATTTATGCAATATTTTCTTCTTTTTATCATTTTTAAACATTTATTTTGCTTAAAATAATATCCTAAAAAATGAATATAACAATTTAAAATTTGATTTCACTTTTCAAAACAAATTTTATATTTTAACTAACTAATAATGCTTTTGCATTTGCTTACTTCCATTTATTGCATTGCTTTTCTATCGTTTGTTTATTTGTCTTTTTTCAATTTGCAAAATATTTTTCAAACATTTTGTTCTAGTTGTTATAAAAATTGTTAACAAGTTAAACTAGCAATAACTTTGACATTTGTAAGTTTTTCAATAATTTTTAAATGTGAAATTTGACCAAAATACATTCAAACAGAAATTTTAAATCTCATTTTAGCATTTGTAAATAAGTAAAATTTTTGAATAGTAAGTAAGTTTATCATTTTAAATTTTTAAGACTTTAACATTTAAAAAAGTGCAAAAAGAACCATTTTATGTGCATTAAAATCCATCATTTGAGTAACGATCAAATTTTGGGGTTAGGCAAAATGAATTCAGGCTGGAGGGAAAGTTCCATATTTGGACTTAACTCTGATGGAAAACAATTTCTATTAAAATATCAAATATCGCTATAGATATTTTATCGAAGTGTAAAATTGATGAAGGAATCTCAGCATTCAAATATATTTCAGCTTTTTCGAAGTAGTTTTACAATACTGAGTAGTAAAAATGAAACTTAACAATTAGAAATAATCAATTCGATTTTAAAATTTAATCTTATCAATGCAAAGTAAATTGTAAGTCTTGGAAATTTTGTTGGACTCGATGGAAATTTTCGAAGTGAATATTGGCTAGAAAATTTACTGAGCTTGAAGTTATAATCAGACTCAATTTAGGTATATTATCAAAGGTCACATTTGGGTATAAATTTGTTTATTCAATAATTTTTTAATCTGAATTTGTGTTGATTTGAAAAATTTCTTATGGTAAACTTATCAATTGTGTAAGGCTTATTAAAAAAATTACCCAAGAAAGATAAGATTCTGATTAAAAACTTGAAATTACATTTTTGCGCTACAAAATAATTTTAGCTATTAAAAATCTTTCTAAAAATATACTTAAGTATATGTAAAACTTTTAGTGATAAATCAAAGAGTGCACTAAATTATTATTCTAAATTAAAAGATTTCAAACTTATCAAATTATTTTCACATAATTTATATAAAATAAAGGCAGTTGCAATAATTAGAAATTATTTTGTTGGAAAAATATTAACTAAATATTTATAAATTGTGAACTAACAGAACTGCAGTTTACTAATAAACTTCAGTTAAAATAAAACTCAATAATTTTAACAAATACTTTATCATAACACTTATCACTCATATCACTTAGCATTAGACTGTTTTACAATATTCAATATTATTGAGTATAGCGTTATGATATCACTTATCAAATGTCATTAATTTATTTATGAGATTATTAATAGCATTTGATTAGTGGTATGATAATTATTGACTTTTGATAAAAAATTTAACCGATTCATAACAAATTTGATGCAGTTACTAATAAGAATACTAGTTATTTGGAAAGTTAAAGCTCTTTATTAATATTATAAAATAAAAATATTAAATATTACGGAAGTATCAATGTTGTAAAAATAAATGACCCAAACTTTGTGACTGATAATTGATAATGCAGTGGTGATAAGAATGGATGGTCAGAGGATATTGCTTTTATCAAAACAAATTGTAATCTTTTCAGAAAATTGTTCATTTTTTGCTGCTAGCAATTTTTATTAATTATTTCGCTAACTTTTGTCTTACATTTTTGTTGTTTGTAATGCTTCAACATTTAATCATTCTATAAAAGAAACTCAATTCTGATTCTGTTCAAAAATTTGAGGAGAAATGTTTAGAGTGTCAGTTGTTTCCTTAGATCAAAAATCCTCACGTAAACGCTTGTTTACTTATTTCTACACTAACTATAGCTAATTAAGGCAAACTGCATGACTCTGGGAAAAATTTGCATGATCCATCTGAATAATATATCATTATTATATCAAGTTTTCAACCGTTGACCTTAGCTAAAAATTTGTTTGTTATTTAGAAAACAGTTTTTTCTTCTTTTTCTGAGTTTGACTTTTTTCATCTTCGTTTTGTTCTAAGTAATTTTTTAAATTGTTTCGAATTTCAAGTATTGATCTTTGTTATACATATCACGGAATAGATTGCAAACTTTTTATTCATAAAAAGTAA